ATTAATAATATTGGTGATGTTAGGAAGACAGCTATAACTAACTTTTAAATTATTCTTATTAAAAATTTTTCGAAACTTATGTGTTTTTGGAAAATGCTTTTCAATTAGATTTAGAAAATTTTTTGCGATGTTGGTTTTTACATTTTGTGAAAACGGAGGATTAAACCAAATAATGTTTCGTTATCTTGATTTTGGTTTTGATGAGGTAAGGTTTTTTTGAAAACTAATCCTTTCATTATACCCACTTGCTGTTAACGCATTGTTATAAAATGGTGATGATATATCAAAAACTTCCATGCTAGATGAAATATTGCTAATACGGTTAGATATCATAGATGGTATGGATTTAATAATACTAGGTGGGTGGTTAGAACTTGCGTTCTAACCACCCACCTAGTATTATTTAAATATAATACAATTGTGTTGGAAACAATAATACAATTGTGTTGGAAACATTAGATATTAAAATATTATCTAATGTTTCCAACACAATTGTTCCAACATGTAACTGCCGGCAACCTTCTCAATGTCCTTTGCAAGGTATGTGTCTCAGTAAAAATATAATTTACGTCTGCAATGTAAAAACATCACCGCAGGATAGTGGTCTTAATTATATTGGTCTAACGGAACACACCTTTAAAGATCGCTGGTACAAACATAAAAATTCCTTTCAATACGAAAGTAAAGCTAACACCACAGAACTTTCGAAATATATCTGGAAAATGAAAAAAAAGGGATTTTCAAATCCTATTCTTACGTGGAAAGTTATTGATAGGGCGGAACCATTTAAACCTGGAGGAAAGTTATGTAACCTTTGCTTAACCGAAAAATACCATATCATTACGTCATCTTTGAAACTACTGAATAAACGAAATGAACTAATATCAAAATGTCGCCACGAAAACAAATTTGTTATTTGCAACTTTAACGTCATCTAAGCTAACACTGTATTGTATTTTTGTATATAATTTTTGTTGTTGTTACGGTTGTTTGTAACGTCTGATGATCGCATAAAGCGTGAAACTCCGAGTTATGTTTCAAATCTAATTGTATATATATATATATATATATATATATATATATATATATATATATATATATATATATATATATATATATATATATATATATATATATATATATATATATATATATATATATATATATATATATATATATATATATATGAATATATATAAATATATTTATATATATATATATATATATATATATATATATATTTTATATATATATATATATATATATATATATATATATATATATATATATATATATATATATACATATACATATATATATATATATATATATATATATATATATATATATATATATATATATATATATATATATATATATATATATATATATATATATATATATGTATATGTATCATCATACATATACATATATATATATATATATATGTATATGTATGATGATGCATTGGCCCAATGTTGAAAGTCAATGTTGGCCCAATGCAGGTTTGATCGATGGTTAGGTATTGGCCCAACATTGTGTAAAACATTGGCCCAATGTTGTACACAACGTTTACCCAACATTGGCCCAACGTTGTATATAACGTAAGTCCAATATTGTATACAACATTGGCCCAGCGTTGTATACAACATTGGCCCAACTTTGTATACAAAATTGGCCTAACATTGTATACATTATTGACTCAATGTTATACGATTATTTTTTTTTATCAGCCTAAAAATTTATGCAACATTAGATCCTTGTTACAAATAAGATGATTTGCATCGCTATATTGAAAAATTATAGAGAAAAAAAATAATGAATGATACAAGTATAAAAATTTATTTATTTAATAAAACTTCTCGGTTAAATATACATATTGCAAACGCTAAACTTAAATTAAAAACTGAAACATTGAGTTTTCAATAAAAAAATTCACTATAAAATTTATAGAGTAGTTTCAATATTGGCTGAGCTACTTGTTATTGAATCGTGTTTAGCTTATGATATTTAATGCTTAAGATTATTTATTTTTTCTTCTGCAATATCTACACATGTCTGCATAAGTCATGCTTATTTGACTTCAGAGTTTATGCAAAAAAAAATATTTATTTGTTTAATTATGCGCCAAAGAAGTATAACAAGTTGAAAGTAATTCTGTAATGCAAAATTAAAACTGAAATTTAAATCTTTTCTAAACCACTTACCAATAGCAACATATGCAATCAATATTTTTCCTATTCCAGTTTTTTGTCCTCTCCCTGCATAGTTTATTTTTACAACTGAGCCATTTTAAAATATTCTTAGTAAATATTTTAAAATGGCTTATTAAAATATTCTTAGTAAATAATATATGCAACCTCCTACGTCTTTAACTTTAATTTGTGCCAAATAATTAACCTGCAAAATTACAAAACCTGGTAATAATTAAAGTAACTATTGTTTAGATTTAAATTAAAATCATAAAAAAATATTTACTATTTACTAAGTGTTTCCTTGTCTTTTTACTTCCAGAGTACATGAATTCTTCACTGCTTTTAATGGCAATGACACTATTTCAGGCAATACAATATCTAGCATATATAATACTATCATATCTTTTAAGGATACAACTTTATCTTGAAACAATAAAGTTAATTATATTATTAAGAAACTATACAACTAATTACATATTATATTTAGAATTTATGAAAGTAAATACAACAATTACTAATGAAAGAGATAAAATTAAAGACAGAGGGGCAAACTTTTAATACTTTTAATACTTGCTAATAGATTCATAACATTTTTATGAACTATGAAATTTGCAGGTGTGCATTCAATTTCTGGCATTGACACAAAACAATTCTCGTTAATGTTTGAGATACAGATTGCATTGTGAAACGAAAAAATTCATATTAAAACCCTATGAAAAATTCATATTATTTACGAACCCTGATTCTCCAACAGGGTTCGTAACCAACTATTTATATAAAATTCAATGACTTTTTTGAAAAATCAGATGAATTTCCCCGACCATTTTTACAATGGTTTTTACAAATGGTTAAAATTACTTTCTACTGTAATGGAAAGCTAAGATGTTCATGCTTTGAATGACAATACTTATAAAACTTAGCTTTTAATTAAGTTAGATATTAGAATAAATCTTATTATACATGTTACTATGGATCTTATTATTAAGGATAACTAAGAATGAAGAGTAAGAAAAAACATAAGTTTCGGAAAAAATAAATGGATAGCACCAAAAAAAAACTAATAGCTAAACTTAATTGAGCGCTGTTATTTAAAAAGGTGACAAGTAACAAAATTAAAAATTGAAAAACATTTCTCTTGTAAAAAATTTATTTTTATTTTATCTAATAATTGTTTCTTTTGTCTAAAAAAAATTTTAATTTTATCTAAAAAAATCTTTATTTTATCTTATAATTTTATCTTTTCCTGAAAAAAAATATTCTTTTCAAACAATCTCACTTTTAAAAAAAATCTGACTCTTCACGTTTTCAAAATACAGCTTTTAATTGTGAAACGAGTAACTTCTTAACTAGAAATACTGACATTTCCATGACTACCTAAAGAAAAAAATAACTTCCTGACTTTTCCAGGTTTTCCACGACTTTGGCCAATTTATACATATTTTCCAGATTTTCCAGGTACAGTACAGACCTAGTCCAATGTTTGTAATCAATTTATTTCTGAATTTTAATAATACAATTTTGAAAAATAATACTTAATTAATTTAAATAAACATTTATATAATGAATAATAATGAGCCACCAGCAACTGTTAAAACTTTAAACTGATATGAGTTCCATGTTTTTTTTTTTAACAGTTTATTTCAAATCAATTTCGAAGTTGGTTACACCAACTTTGAAACATAACAAAAAATTTTTGTTACATTCATAAACTTAAATATTATCGAAATGACTAAAAAACATGGCCAGTTTTTTGCAACTAGATATAATTTCAGTGGTCAGTATTCAAGAGCAATGGCTTCCACTTCCTGACCAAGCCTGTGGTTTAAGCTTTGGTATGGTGATTATTATACAATAAAATATTATTTAACACTTTGAATTTTTGACTGTAATATATGAATAAGTGTTTAAAATTGTAAAAGTTAAAGCTATGAATATTGATTTTCAATCATCAGACATAAAATAAACCATTTAATAAATTTTGTTCATTTAACTTCTTAGAGCAAACAGTTGTAGTTACTGGTAAATCCCAAAATTTAATAATATTTATTGTTTTATCATTAGAAAATGAGGTTGAATCATCTACACCAAGATATACACAATAATTTGATTCTTTAATCTTTATTTTGACTGGACCTTTTCACTATCTTTCTTTTTTTGTCTCCAGAGCAGAAGTTTATCTTTCTGCTAAAGGTTGTTTCGATTTAAATCATGATTTAAATTAGACAAATAAAAAATATGACTTCAATTGAGTTTTTTTTTATTTTAAATGTTTTTAATAACTATTTATTGATTTAATCTTATAATTCAATCAATTATTATAGACTAGTCATTGGTCTTAAAATAAAATGTCTGGCAATAATAGAAAGCTCTACATAAGTAGAATATAAATTCTAGTAATATCACTTTTTTACACTTTTTTATTGTTAGGCGATGGGGTTTTACAATCAAACACAGAAAAAATCAAACAAAAGAGACATACTTAAAATGTAAACTCTCAGCTTCTAACAACTTCAATACCATATATGTATATTATTGATACCTTTATTAGTATATATTATCATAGCTATATAATCTAAGCTATTATAAAAAATTTATAAAAAAAACATTTTTTTTTTAAAATACTTATACAGTATGATATTTCAAATGTTTGATATATTTAATAAAATTTATTAACTTTAAAATTAAAATTAAAAAAAAATCGGGTACAGAAAAGCCTAGAAACTACTTTAAAATAGAAAAGCCTAGAAAATTACGTAAGTCGACTATTAACTACTACTATTAAATTAGCGTATTAATAATATCAGAAAAAAATTAAAAAATATTGTTTTTAATTAATTAAAGCTTCAAATATATGTTTATCATCAAATTATTATTATGAAAAAAAAAAAATTAGGTTTTTCAAAGCTTTTTTTTTATACTTTAAAAAATAGAGTACGTCGACTGTTTATTCCTTTTCATTACAAAACATATTACTGCTGATATAGTAGAAATTATACATGAGCACCATCCAATAATGTAAGACCAGCTTAATTTTAATGCTTTATTTTGATTAGTTTCCATTGTGTAGACACTTAATCCAATCGCCAAGAATACGGCTGTAAATAAATAATACTCTAAATAAGCAAAAATTAAAATGTAAATAAAAAAACACAGCTTTATATTAATTTTAAAAGATGGATTTATTATTTTGAAATCAATAAAAATGCAATTCATGAGCTTTAATCAAAACTATGTGCAAGGATAAGTAGAATTGTTATGCATTATACAGTTTCAATACATAATATGCTAAGACACTTAAAAATATTTTTACAATATTATTTTGATTACATTTATTTAACTTTGTTTTAATTTAATGAAATAAAACAAATACATATATTTATTTTATAATATATTATAAAATAGAAAATAATAAAGTCATGCTACAAAATTACAGTTCATACGGAAACTCATATTTTATATGAGTTTTCATATGAATTGTAACAATAATAATCTCTTTATAATAATACTGGACTTAATAGTGCGCTTTCGAGCCTGTTTGACACGATACTCTTGGCAACCATTGCATCTGAGGTAGTGACGAGAAAGAGTCTCACCTTTGCTTTATAAAACGTGAGCAAACGTGAATCTCATATCGTACGAACCTAAATTCATGTCATGTAATGTTAAAACATGCTTAAACATATATTAAGTTCAACAGTTTGATTTTCACTTAAGAACTGCATTTCGTCAACCTTTGCTTAATTTCTAATCTTTTATGTTTATATCCGTTAGAAGAAATTTTTATATTATTTGAAATTTTCGAAAGTCGCTGTGACAGCGTAGCAGAGTGGTTAACGCGCTTGGCTTCTAACCGAGTTAGCCGTAGTTCAAGTGCTACCATCAGCGAGTTTTTTTTTTATTTTTTTTTTGCGCATGTGTCATTATTGAGATACTCATGTTATTTTAGTTAAACTTTTCAAGTTTATTTACAACTTAATTGAGCAAGGAAAATTAGTAAAAAACATGTTCATATATAGAATATAAAATCTATATAACTTTTGATTTGCATTTTAAATAACAAAACTGCGTGGCAAGCTGATGAACTTGCCACGCGGCGACCTTAACTTTTTTCAAAAATAGTAAGGGGGTTTAAAAAGTATATTTTTATTTAGAACATTATTAAAAATTTTAATTTTATATGTAAACTAAATTATTTTATAAAATTTATTGTTTCTAAAAATAATTTAAAGTTAAACTATTTAATATTAGCATAATAAGGAACTTTAAAGATTTACAGCTATTTATCAACGCCTCTGTTAAACATTCTTAACCGCATCAAGTACTGAGATGATTTAAATAACAAGAGTTGCACGAGGCACTGTAGATGTGCATGCGATAAGTATTTAAATTGCTTTTTAAACATTCATGAATCTCTAAATATCTTTGAATATCTCTTTAATCATTATCGTAAAACTATATTTATTGAATATACTTTTATTTGTGAATTCTATTTATAATTGTATTTTGTAATTTTCAATCTGTTTTCATTGCTACTATTGCTACTTTTAAATATATTTTACATTTAGAATATAATTTAGACATTATAAAAGTACTTTACCAAATACCCTGTTAAAAAAGCATAGGTAAAAAATAGAAAAAAATACTTTAACTGATGTTTAGGGAGAAGCTAAGTTTTAAAGTTGATATGCCCAAACAGCTTTTGGCAACACTAGCAATGAGAACACTGCCAGAAGGGCATTTGAAAATGCTGAAAATTTTGCTGATATAACAGGAGTGGCAGTAGATGTAGTTATTAGGTTGAGGATAATTCTAATATCAGTATGCATCAGTATCATTCTTTGTACGCGTAAAAGACTCTAACACGTTTACACATGTGTAGTACGAGCCTTAGACACAAGTAAAGTTTATATTAAAAATTTTATGGTATTTTGGATCAAGGAATCCGATTTTTTTATTTAAATTAAATTTTTCACGTGTAACTGACACTTACACTCGTAAGCACGCGTTGTACGCGTTATAGGTACACGTAAAAAAAAATTTAATAGCAAAGTTAAATTTTTTGACCGAAAATACGATAGTATTAATGTATCACGTGTTTATATATAATAGTTATATAATTTTTGCCGTTTTTTCACATTTTTTGACTCATTGTGGGAGGTCCGGAAAAATATTTTAAGAGATTTCTAGAGAAAGTGTGCAACAAACTTTCCTGTAGAGTTCATCTGGCTGCAAATGTCAAAGTCTAGCCTTTCTAATCTATTGGCTTTTATGCCGACGTATGCAGAAAGTCTGCCAATGATATAAATTGGCGAAAATACAAAAAGCTTAGTAGTAAAAAAGAAGCCAGGAAAAATATAACGAAAAAGTAAATATCAAATATAGTTAAGAAGATCAAGAAGGTGATAAATTGTTGGAAAGATCTGTCTTATGGCCTCAGGTTTACTGTCGGAACATTTTTACTTGAATATGATGATTTGCGGAATGCTTTAAGTTTTTGTTTTATTTGAAAAAAAACTGCTGCAGAATCAAACGCTTGTCAATGGAATCATACCAGGGGCGGATCTAGGGTACGTCTAGTATGTCTGTAGACGTACCCAAAAATAAAAATAAATCTAAAAAAAAAAAGTTTTTATATTATTTCAATATTGCGTATAAAAATAGTTTTTATTAGTTTAACCGTTAAGTGAATTAAATTTAAGTTTTATTACCTTCATACAAACAGTTATTAAAAAAAAAAAATTTTTGCTTTTTGTTTAGAGTAATTCAAGTTGCTTTTTGTTTAGAGCGGTAAATAAAAAAATCTTTTTTGACTGGAGGTTAAAGTAATAATAAATAAATAATATTTAGTTAGAAGAGTCAATGGACGTACCCAATATTATTCTGTTAAACGATTAAAAACGTTTTTAAATTTTTATTTTTTTTGTTATAAAAGCAAAATATTAATTTCTTTAGTTATAACAATTTTTGGACGTACCCAAAGCAGTACACCCTAAGTAAAATCTTAGTTTAAAACCATTGTTTAGCGATAATCAGGAGGTGAAATATATTTTAATAGTTACTACATATCAAAATAAACCTAACATTATTTTTTTCTGTGATTGAACTTTTTATTTAGTTTAATTTTAATTATTTGAATTTTAAGTAATCAATTTTATTTATGAAAAAACACTGTCGGACGTACCTTCCTATTTTCACCTTGAAATGTTTAAGTTTATTGTAATATTGAAAATGTATCGACTCTGTAGATATACGAAGTTTTCTTAATAAATTGTGTTTGCAACATGTTCGTGTTTAGGCTGGTGATAAAATTCTTCAAGATCAGCTTAGATATTTTCGACAAAAAATGCTTCTTACATATCTAAAACACCATAATATCTGTTAAAAAAAGTGTTTCAGAGAAGCTAATAACAAAATAGTTTAAAAATTTTAAAGATTTTTCTGTATAGTTTAAAAATTTAGTTTAAAAATTTTAAAGATGAAGCTTCTGACAATTAAAGTAGAGAACAACTACTTTTAATTATATGGTTTGTTGGTTCAAAGTTCAATAAGAGAACTTATCAGTTTCTTAGATTGCACAAATGGTGTTACTGGTACGGAATATTTTATTTTTTGATAAAAAATATTTCGGATTCCTTTTTATATATCATGAATTGTGATATGGTGGTGGTAGAGCAATTTATTTTAGATTTATCAAACACCCGCTATACAAGTAAGGTAAATTAAGAGTTTCATACAAGATAAAAATAAAAAATTTTGGAATTTTTTTTTTTTTTTGTTTCAACGTGATCATCTTGGAATATGTTTTTCAAGAATGTCCTTGAAGATAGTTCTCTGCTATTTTAAGTTCCACTACTCAACTGCACATTTTAGAGATTGAAGATCCGTTTCAGCAATTAAATTTTTGAGGCCGACAATATTTTTTACTTTCCATTATTGTCTCCAGATTTAGTTCATGATTATTTCACAACCCTTTGATGCTATCTAAAAAATGTTGTGGGGCTGTTTTGTTTTTCAGCTGCGACCTAATAATATCATATGTCATTTTATTGTTCATCAAACGAATAAATAATTTTAGCTTGTTTTGTTGTATAATAATTGATATATCTTCAATAAAAAATAAGGTATGAATATAATTTTTGCTATGTTTTGAAACATCGAGGAGTGACTTAAGTGCATTTCTTCTAACTATATCAAGCTTTTGTTAATGCAATTAACTTTTTATGTTCACACAGCTCAATACCATAAGTTAGTGTTGGAACAGCTAAAGTTTTAAATAACTTAACAATGGAGTTTGGGTGAGGATTGATGGTCACACTAAAGATTTGTCCTCTTGTATTTTAAATCTAAATGAAAAAGCTGCATATGCTCATTGCAACAGTCATAGACTTAATTTAGTTATTTGTGCCTCATACAAAGTGCAATATGTCAAGTATCTTTTTAGCATTATGTTATGTTTTGCAATATGACAAGTATCGTTTTTGGCACACTTTAATGAGGTATCACTTTTTAAACTTGTACATATCAGGCAACAAATTTTAGAGGAGCATATTGAAAGTACCGTTTCATATTAAACATGTTGGGTGGAAAAGGTTTACTTTTTTTTTGGATAGTATTTAAGAACATAGTACTAGTTCCTACAAAAATGATTTCAGAAGTTCAATTATATCTTTTAGTGAATTTTATGAACAGATCTACTGAATTCCCATGCTTTAATTTTGTGAGCTTCATTTATGTGAAGCATTTTAGTTAAATTTAAAAAGGTAATTTTAATATTAATGTTACTGAGCTGTTAAAAGTGATTCCTGGTTGTAAAAACATTAAAAGTTTACATGCTACTTTTCCACTAACTTCATGTGAATGTGACTGGGTATATCATTCATTTTGGTGCCTGAAATATATATGTTAAGCACCCTGGTATAGTGTCAAACAATAACACCGATTTAGTGTTATCATTTTTATATATAAAAGTTGTATTTGTTATAATTGGGAAATGCTTTTGTTTTTTAATTGATTTTTTTCAGTTTTTATGTTTTAATCAGCAATACTTATTAAAATGAATGTTTTAAATTTTTTTTTTTTTTTTTTAACAAAATGTGGCATTAAGAATGCAACTCTAAATACCTCTTTTTATAATTTAAATTTGCATATTTAATATACAATATTTTATTATAATTTGTGCTATTTTATAATATATTTGTTAAAATAGAAATATAAAATTTTGCATTGTGTAATTTATGGAAATGGAAATGTAAAAATATAGTTTTTAATAATAGATCTCTAAATAATGTGTAAATATATAATTTTATAATCTAAAAGTATAGTGACCTGGTGATAACCTTGCATATTTTTAATTGAAGAAAGGCTCTTATTAAATTAACTTAATAGACCTCTTTTAATAATAGACCTCGGTTAATCTTGATAGATTAACTGAAGATGGTCTTCCATGTATTTTTTTGCTTTTCAACTAACGACTAGAGACACCAAAAAAAAAAAAAAAGTTCTCAATATTTCCAATATGCCAACTATAGTTCAAAACTTGCTCAATGTGCTAACTCAAATGCTTGTAAGATATCTTTAAGGGGAGAGGGTGAGGGACACCACGACACCCCCCTCATTCTTCGGGACGGCCCTGGAGAGGGGGTTAAAAATTTTTCCAAAAAATCAGATGTACCCAAATAATTTCCTGGGTTTGCCCCTGCATACCCTATCAGAAGTAACATGCAAAAGATGGTTTCAACAGTTCCTAGATATCAATTTTAATGTGAGTAATGAAGAACGTGAAAAACCTTCAAAAAAATTTGAAGACGCCGAATTGCAAGCAAAATTAGATTAAGATAATACTTTGAGTCAAAAGAAAATGGCAGCAATTTAATATATAGTTCAAAAATGTTTTTTTGATTGTTTAAAAGCTATGGAAGAACTTCAAAGGTACGAAAAATGGGCGCCTCCTGAATTTAATGAAAGTCAGATGGGGAAAAAAAAAAGCTACTGTCAAAATCTTGCTTTAAAGACAAGAAATGAAATTAGTATTTCATCGAAATGTTACTGGCAATAAAAATTGTATTTATTTTTTATATCTTAAAAGAAAAACGTCATTGGTTAATCCAAAACAACCATTAACATTAACTTAAAACTAGATTGGTTTGACAAAAAAGCAATGCTCTGTGTTTCGTAAGGGTTATAAAGATGTGGCGTATTATGAGCTTCTACAACCTAATGAAAGTGTTAATACAAATTGCTACAGAAAGTAAATAATCCTTTTTTTTTTTTTTTAATTTTATTTAGGTGCCCCAAGAAGTCTATACGGTCTTATCACAGAGCACCGAGGATGAGCATTTAAATGGAAGTTCACGCCTCCCTCCTAACTGATGTCGCAAGACTTGCCCAGAGTTGGGGTTTGAACCACGGATTCTTTGTTTCTGAGGCAAGTGCGCTACCACTGCGCTACGGCTGCTCATCCAATTTCATGAATTGGTTAAAAAAGGAACAGAATGGGCCCGAAGACCAAGCAAATTAATCTTTATACTATAAAATGGACCTGCACAAAAACAAAACTACATCAATGCACTTTGCTGGAGTTGCTACCCACCCACCGTATTCACCAGACTTGGCCCTTTTCAGTGATTAGCGACATTACTTACAATAAGTTTAATGTCCATCTTATTTTACGTCCTTTATTTATTTATTTTGAAATAAATATTAAAAAAGTTCATTACTTTCCACAATACTTACAGATTAAATTAACATTAAGTTTTACCTGTTGCACAGAGTACAACACCAGGGAATATGATATTTATTTTCTTTGAACAATTTAGCACGCTTAATACGAAAGCAAGAAAGTATGTCAAACAGCCAATAATCATAAATGTTTCAGTAACAATTAAGTTATCTAAAGAAAAAAATTTTCATTAATTGTGAATTTAATAATAAACATTTAGTTTTACAAATTTTACAATCGATTTAACTATTTCCAAAGCTATAACACTTCTTTTAACAAAGTCGTTACACAGCTTTTTAGAACCTAGTTGTATACTTTGTTTGTTAAAAAATATAAAAACAGGATTTTTCTATAAATACATAAATATAGTCAGCTCCTTCCAATCTGATTCTAAAACGTATTATATAGTACATAAAATGTGAAAATGTAATACTTTTTGTAAGTGCAATGTGTCTTAGTAGAGCTCCATCAAGCAGTAAACGCCTTAAAGATGCATAATAAATTAAAAAGAGTGTAGAAGAGTGATAAAAAAGTATAAAAAGACAGATGCCCAGTGAAAAACAAAGAACCACAAGAATTAAAATACTAAAGCTAATCATGATATAATGTAGTAAGTATAAACAAGAATGATAAGCAATAATCAAAGATGGTAACAGTCAACAGAAGTCATGATAATGAATGTTGTTAGCGTAGATCGTAATTTCGATATATAAAAAGTGTAAATGGTTAAGGAGAGTTATTTGTTTTATAATTAGTTAACATAAGGTTTTATTGTTAATGAGATAAACATACATTATAGTTAGGTGTTTCATGTAAGCCCCACAGATGTTTATGTATGGATTCGTGCCTAATAGTAAATGAACACAAAGAAACCTCTTACTTTCATTTGAGACTGGTATCCTACAAGAGGATATACTTTTTGTGTACACAAGAGTATCTTTTTGGTAGAGTGTCCCTTTTTTTTATTCAAAAAGGGCTTTTTTCAGGGTATTCCATCAGGGCTAATATCACAGATTTCCGCATTGAGGACGATAGGGCACTGTTCAGTAAAACTTGTATACAATAGTGAGTGATATTTTGATATTGATTTAGCAGTAAGTATAGTAATTTGTTGCATTATATAATGAGGGATGGTAATATTTATAAACTGTTTTTATTTCTTATAGTTGTTAATATGAGATATACAGTCATAGAATTTGTGTCAATGCATACTGTAGTTGCAAGTGTTATTAGTATAAGTAATTAGTAAAAAACTAGTCAAAATTCATTTAAACTGGTATAATGTAAACTAAACGTAGATTCTAGTAGTCATATAAAGTATATATAAACAGGTAATGTTACAAAATGTTAACAAAGTGTAAAAAATGACTCTTTCTCATCATGCCAACGTGCATCTACAGAAAAATGTTGGCAAGAATTGAAGTTTTAAACTGTTAGTCTTTTATATACAAATATTTTTTAAATTTATTTTAAATTTAAAAACTCTTTTTTTTTACATTATATATATATATATATATATATATATATATATATATATATATATATATATATATATATATATATATATATATATATATATATATATATACCTATATATTATATACAATCAAAGTCTTATTATAATTTTAAACTATAGTGTAGACCAGTATGTTTTGGTTTGTATGGTCAAAAAACAATGTTGTTTGTGTAAATGAAATTCCATCAAGTTAAATAAAAAATGGTTTTGTCCATTGTCCGAATTGAAATGTGAAATTTGCAGTAAAATTAAAATAAAATTAAGCACGAAATTTAGTTAGTATAAGTTTAAACTAAAATTTGATGAAACTACAGGTATTATAACCTATTACATATAAATGATTAATACATATATCTTTAAGAGCAGTATTAAAGACCATTTAATCTTTATCAAATCTTATGTAAGTATTTATTGTATTCTTTTTGTTAAGAATTGATATAATAACGTTAGGTAAAGTAAAAATTTATATAAACTGGGTTGCAGGCGTTAACATAACTCCAAAGTAGGTTGGTATTTTGTTTTACTGTTGTTTATTTTTATATTTTGTTGCATTATTAAAATAAAATAAAGAGGGATGGCACAGTAGAACAAAACAAAAATTTAAAGCTTTAGTTAAAAAAGCAAAAAATAGACAAGTTAATGAAGGCTTTAATAATATAAGAGCTAAATTATACAATAAAGTCATTTTTAAATATATCTATTTTGTTTTGTCATGTGCATTTAATACTCATCCAGAGAGAGGAGCAAGATGGAGTTTAAATTTAGTAAACATTCTGGTTATATAATGCATGTCATTATATAAACATTATGAAAGTAACAACGAATTTAAATTATGACTTTTTGAATTAATTTTCATTACTCGGTTATCATAGATAATTGTCTTGGATTTGTCAATATTTTGCCATTCATGACAACTTTCTACTAATAGTTTTATTTACACATAATATAATCCAAATCATCAAGTTGCATAGATGACAAATTGTTAAACAAATTTCTTATTTCTTCTTTTTTTTTTTAATTAATAATATTATTAATATTATAAATATTTATTTACTTTAATTCTATTAATTATTTATTATTTTCTTATTATAGTATCTATTAAAAAGTTAACGCTAATAAAAAAAGAAAAAGTTATTAAAAGTTGCTAGCAGCATACTCAAATTAGAGCCAAGATTTTATATAAACTGACTTGAAAACAGCAAAAAATTTATTAAATAGAAGAAAGAAAGTCAGGAAAAAAGCTGTTTGCAAACAGCTTTTTCCCTAACTTTTTTTCTTTCTTCTTTTTTTTTAATATTTTAATATATCCGTTGAGTATAAAATCACATTTTTATAGATTAGTCTAGATTAGTTTGTCAAATAACTCTAACCTCTCAGTTGTATTCATGTCTAGTTTTTAAGAATTTAAATATGATTTTGTTTCTCACATTTTTTTGCCATGATTTCATTATTTATTTTAATTTGTAATTTGAGTATTCCATTAATTTAATTCAGGGCTGTGGAGTCGGAGTTGGAGTTGCGGAGCAACATTTTTAGCGGAGTCGCTAAACAAAATCACTACTCCGATTCCAATAGTAAAACTTCTCGGTATTGTACGTGCATGTACAAAATATTCAATTAACCTTATGTTTATACTAAACCTCAAACGTTTCATAAATTTGTTAAAAAAAAAATTTCAACTTATTGCGTAATATTTTTTGAAGATTCACAGAGTTTTTCAATAATTTTGTTTGAAAATTCAAAAAGTTTTTCAATAATTTTGCTTTGGAGTTAGAGTTGGAGTTTGAGTCGTTACTTTTTTTTACGACTCCACACCCCTGATTAGATTGATTTGTAATTTCATTGTATTTTTACTGTTTTTTTTTTTTTTTTTTTTTTTTTTTTGAATAAACTTATTTTGATTTTGCAGATTAATGGCAAACTAAAAGCAAAGTTTTACTTGACCAAATCTAAAACAAAACAAACAAAAGAAAATTGATTTTAAATACTTACAAAGTGTTATTGGTATGTATATTATATTTTTTTGCGCTGCTGCCACAGTAATATATATATATATATATATATATATATATATATATATATATATATATATATATATATATATATATATATATATTATATATATATATATATATATATATATATATATATATATATATATATATATATATATATATATATATATATATATATATATATATATATATATAGGGGCGGATCTAGGATTTTATATAGGTGTAGCTAAAATTTGTAAAATTACGTCATAATTGCAACTATTTAATAAGTGGGTTTGTCTACGTCAAAAAGACGTCCGATAATTACGTCATGTAGACGCCGCCAAACAGTTTTTTTTATCTGAGCGTCTTTAATTCACTTTTTGCACACATACATTTTTCATTTACTTTTAATGGATTCTAGTAAAATAATTAATGATAAAATATAAAATTTGCCTTGGCTATTCTGTTCGTTATTTAGACATAATGTCTAACTTACTTAACGAAGTACACCAACTAGAAGGTAAGCCATAGGACTTTGCATTCCATATGTAAGTTGTAACGCTGCCTTAAGTTAGCTCTCCAATTCTGGATTCTTTCCTTTATAATTTTGTTACTAATAGAACAAATGCAACTATTACTGCATTAATAATATGATATCGTGATTTATTCAAAAGATATTTAGTTTAAAGTTGTATACTACTACATATAAATGTATAGTAAAAAAAAAAAGATTTGAACAGTATCATTATCTATAGAATCCTCAGGAAGCTAACTTATTACATCTTTGTTTTTTATGATTACTGAGCATTCTTTTTGTAGCATACTCTAACGAAATTAACACACATTTAAATTTTTTTATTTAGTAGTTTACATTGTTTAGTTAAGAACAAATTTTAAAATATTTAACATTTTAAATGTCATAGATTATGAAATGTACTCAAAATAGAAAATAAATTCATTTTTTAAACATTTATAACAAATAAAAAATAAGATGCTCTAAGAAAAAATTAAACAATGAAAAAAAACAAAAAAATGATTCTAAATATAAGAGATATTCAATTATTTTATTCACATATAAATATAATTATTATTCAATCATAGCCAATTATTTAAGGCTTGAATAGCAACTTTAAACATCTCTCTCCAGAAGCTGAAAATTTTTTGCTAACCCTGTCTTTGACCATTTTGGTATAAATTGACATAAAAGCTAGGTCATTCAATGACTTTTTTAACACACTACTTCTTGACTAAGTTACTAATCTCTTGTTATTGTACCTAAAACATTCAAAAATGTTGGGGAAATCAGTCATGACTTTTGTTTAAAAAATACTAGATGGGGGTTTTGACTGATCTTTCTAAAGAGGCTTCCATAATACTACTTTGCATGAATAAAAGTTGAATGCAGAGTTGGAATGATAGATATCTAGAAATTCCCGAAAGCAGATTTGCAAATCTTAGTTATTTTTCAGGTAACTTAACGTAACAGATAAAACTGCAAACATCCCATATAAACCAACTTGTTTTCTGTTTAAAATATTATGTAATTAATAAGCTCATTAGTAACATGGTCCAGCAAAGGTAAAGGGATAGAAAACTTAAAATATTTAGATGATAAATGATTATCATAATTGATTAGCTTTCTACACTTTCTAGTTTTT